ACACACACACACACACACACACACTCACTCACTCACACTCTCTCTCTCTCACACACACACACACACTCACTCACACTCTCTCTCACACACACACACTAGTAGTGCTAGTAAAACTTTGTGTCTGTCTCCACTTAGGCTGGTTCAGTGCGAGGTTTGGTGGTTTCTCAACAATGTGAGCGGTCGAGATTTTGATCAGGCCTCTTGTTTTTATGGCATTCTTTACTGATAGTATCGTCCATTCACTGCGATCATTGAAGGAGCACAAACAGCATTTGTTTCACAAGCCAGACTGCTCCGAAAAATAACAAGGATTATTGTTGCAAGCAGGCGCATTTGTCAGCGTAACAAAAGGCTCAGGCTGAATCTAAAACGAGGCCCAAGATTGTGATTGTTTGTGATTGTTTGCGCTACTTTCAAGATTTCGATGTGTTACTGGTGTTTTCTGCCTCATTCTGAAGGCAGTCGGAACTGTTTATGCAGCTTCTTGGTTGTGAAGGTCAGTGATCAACAGACTGTCTGACAAATATTGATATTATTCCACAAATATTGATATTATTCCACAGCATATGGACCTAATTATGCATCTCTTTTCAAGCAAGACAAAACATATTCAACGAATGGATAAACACCACACACTCAAAAGTCCACACACTTGAATAAAAGGTTGTTAACATTTGCTGAAATGCCATAAATAAATATGTTTTTACTAGAGTATTCTGTATGGATGCATTTATCAGTCATTGCTCATCGTTAGAGATTTTTTGGTGTTGGTCGGTGAAAGGAACTGACTGTTTTCAGAAAATTTCATTGGCATTTCCTTTTCATTTTACCTTCTTTTCATTTAAAGTCAAATTATAAAAATATTTAGACAAATGTAGACTACTGTTCAGATTTTATTTTTAAAGAAATTAATGCTTTTATTCATCAAGGACACATTAAAGACATCAAAAGTGTCAGTAAAGACATTTATAATGTGACAAAAGATTTATATTTAAAATAAATGCTGTTCTTTTGAACTTTCTGTTCATCTGTGAATCCTGAAAAATAAAATGTATCAGTTTTCACAAAAATATTGTGCAGCACAACTGTGTTCAACATTGATAATAATCAGAAATGTTACTAATAATCAGCATATTAGAATGATTTCTGAAGATCATGTGACACTGAAGACTGGAGTAATGATGCTGAAAATACAGCT